TGTGTAAGGAAAATTTTTCGATTAAGAAATCCAAATTATTCTCCATAACGTATTATGGTTATTTTAGATACAATGGAGAATGTTGGTAGTTTAGAAGAACAAGCATTAAAGAGGAAAGAAAGGCTAAAAAATTTAAAACGTAAAAATCCTTCAGACGAGAATTCATCAGCAAATACTTCGAATAATGAAGCTGTCGTACTCCCAAAGTAAGTTAAACTTTACGTATTAGGACCCGAATGACCACTGTTAAGGAATCCTTTAAAATATGTAACTGTATTCGTAGTATGGGTCTGTGACATAGTTAAAAGTTACATTTCTTATGGAATGTATAAGTTTGCTTTATAATGAATTTTCTGTTGATAGTTGCATTAATTATCGTTAAATATGTTTTCAGGCCTAAATTTAGGAGTTACAGGCCTCAAGATGAAACATTACAGGAAGCCAAGCTCGATGATGCACAACCTGCTGTCGTTGACAATGAAGTCAAAGATTTGTTAGAAGCGGGTAAAGAAAAAGTAAGCATTATTTCTTGTAAATTTATTTTATTTATTATTACATTACAAAATCATTTCAAGATATATTTAATTTGACACACTCAATAACTAAAAAAACAGTAAAAATATTAAAATTAATCATTAACAATTGTAAATTTAAATAAAACTTTTACTTGCAATCTTTTATCTGTAATTTTAATGTATTGCAAAATATAGACATAAAAAACATACAAAAATATAAGTGAATCAACTAATGTAGTCATTAATTAAATTTACGATCAAAAAACACTATGTTTATACATTACAGGTTGTATTACAAGAGCTAGATATTTCAAGCCTTGCTCCGAGGAAGCCTGATTGGGATCTGAAGCGGGATGTGGCAAAGAAGTTGGAAAAACTGGAAAGACGAACTCAAAAAGCAATAGCGGAGCTTATTTGGGAGAGGCTGAAGGAAGGAGCAGAAGATAATTTAGGAGCTATGGTTACTATGACTAACAAAGTTCCTGATGAAGAATAATCAGTTTTAATAAGTTTAGTAGTTTAGGTTTAACTGCCATTTTTTATAACTTGAATCAGATGTGTCAGTTTTTAATACCAATTTTTTTTAATGCTGCGGGAACAAAGTTGTAAGCAAGAGTTAATATGGAATATGAATGGACATTCGATGTTTGTGGTATTTTAAAAAATCTTTATAAAAACACTCATTATAATAAAACAATTTTTATTAGGATCTTGTAAATAAATAAAAATTTGTTTACGTAACTTAAGATACATAGCTTGAAAACATGTAAAAAAGCTGTAACTAAATATATTGTGTAGTATAAAATAATGAATACATAGATAAGTGGTTGTAATAAATAAATATATAAATAGTTTTCACAATATTTTTTATAATATTGTATGTAGCAAATGTTACAAATATTTCAAATACAATATTTTATGAGTTTGTTTAATTTATTCTCCCATTAAATCATTTAAAACAATCACAGACGATACTAAGGAAAGGTTTATTTCTCTACCATTACAAAAATAAAAAGTTTCAGTTTGATTTTTTTATACAAAAAGCATGTCAAATAATAATATGTTGCCAGTCAACAGTTAAAGTATTTTACATTTTTTTATAATTACTTATATTTGGGAATTCTAAAATAATGATTCCTTTATTATATGTTTACTTTTATTATCTACATTTCTAATATCTATCTAAGATACAGAATATCACAGGTTATAACACATTTTTTTATTAAATTCCAGAATAAAAAGGTTATTAAATTTATAATTTTCTTATTACATTATTAAGTACTATCGCTTTTATTTTCTACTATAAAACAAACTTACATTAATTATTATAACACTAAATAAAGTATATAAGCTGTTAATTGACCTATAACTATTGTTTTTCTTTCTCTTTGGAATATCTTCATCAGGGTCGTCGACTTCGTTATAACTGAAGTATTTATTATCTATGTTGTAGAAAACAACGCGATCGCCGATAGGTTGTATTGGTCGGAAGTTATGCCGGATTTTGCCAGTCGCAGATCTTAACTCCCTGAATACTTCTATCTGGAATTTGAAATAAGAATTTAATTAGTATTTGATCACTATAATGTAGACAATAGGAAACTTATAGTCAACTAAGCTATTCCTAATTGGTTTTCAGATTATCCGTTCAGATATATCTTTGTCAATCTAAGAGATGCAACAAGTTTTTGTATATCAATAGATAGATACCCATGTATTTCTATTAACTTGCTCTCTTTTGCCTACTTCTACTATCTACTGTCTTTTGCCTTGAATCGTTTCCTACCATGTGTAAAAAAAAATATCTCTGCGTCAATGGTAATTCTTAATAGAGAGGTTTTGTTTGGTTATTTAATTAAAACAGAGCTTTGTCTATTACCTGGTCATGAGCCAACCTCACAGGCTGCTCGAAGTCCAGCCATATCACGACTTCAGAACAAGGTGGGGTAGTCAGAGATCCTCTGTACGTGAAGTACCGATTCAAATCGTAAGGCAGTATGTTGAGGAAGGAGAAGGGATGGTTCATTACGACACTCGTGTGAGGTTCCGTCACGTTTGATAACGCTGATGTTATGTCGTCGTAGGCAGGATGTTCATGACGATCTAACTGAAATAAAAATTACACAAAATATAAAAACTAAAATAAATTTCTTTGCGTTTTGCAGATGTGGTAAAATTTCGACTACAATGCTATTGAAACTATACGTTTAAGAGAACATGTTCAGTAGTTTTCTTCCCAAAAACATAACGAGAAATGAGATGTTAAGATACTGGCAACATTAAAAAGATAGCTTTGATTTTAAGCTTTATGCTTATTTTTACATTATAGTTCAAAAATTCCTCGCACTTTTTTAGACAGTTATTAATTTTACCATTAGATAAAATTACATACTCGCATGTATTCTTAATATGAAAGGAGATTTCCACAAGTATTATTAAGTTGCGTTTATCGGTAATGCATTGCGCAGGTAATTTGAGCTTAAAGCAAAAACAGCAGTTCAGTATGCCACATGTTGTGCAAGATGACGGGAAAGTTACTAACCATTATACACCTCATTGGTGTCATTTGATGAAATGCAAAAGTTCTAAAAAAAACAATTGACCAAATCAAGTTTCTGAAGTCAAGGAGGATTTTGTTTGACATTACTTCTCAAATAAATAAAACGTTATATTCAAACAAAACTTTTGAATATAACAATGGATAAGTAAAAATTACATAACGTAATGGACCAAAAATAATCTTTCCACGTAACAATTAACAAAAAAGATAAATTTAAACACAAAACATCATTAGCAAAATTTCAATTATTCATGAGGCATAGCGCTCGTCTGAGGCTCGTTAGAGCTCTATTGAAATTACAATATAATGGATACCTCATAAAAGAACGCGAGCACAGCGAGGCCGTCCGAATGCCGCACGGCATCGTGCGGAGTCTTGTATTCCTCTTTGAAGAACACCATATGAAGCTCCATAGGGAAACTGGAAAAATATTAAAATTCATTCAATGAGACGTATTCAACGGTAAAAATTGCTAGAGCTTTCGCGACGTCAACGCATTGGCAAGTACCGCGTGGGTTCCACTCCGAGGCGCTGCTAAACGGATGCAGAGATCGTAAACATAAATTCTCGCTGTTTTTTTGCAAGTATAAATAAACAACTTCACGGAAAATAATAGTCATTTCAACGAAATTACAATATCATTAAAGTTGTGGTGTAAAAATAACGAATATCTCAATAAGATCGGATGACAAATGTTTTCTTTTGTTATGTCTATTATATGCCGAAAATAGTAAACATTTCCATTGCGTTCACATTTAAACTATGTAAAAAATATAAAAGAAATCCCATGCTTCAATGCATTTATATTTTTAAAACAAGTTTTTTTGATCCGTCGCGAGATTTAGATTGTCGAACATTCAAATATTTTTTGTGGGAATTAAGCAATGTTCGGATGTTTAAAAAAAGCTCTAGATGATAGTCCTCTCTCCACGACGATATTACAAAGAGTAAAATATGTATCACTGGGCTATGGTAAATTCGTAACAAAGGTTAATATCTCCTAAATATTACAATAAAAAAGTTGGTTATCAAATGCGATAGTTCTTTGCATTTTTAAATATTAATCTTGTATTCGAAGCTTCAACGAAAATTAAAATTACCTTCTATGATTTATCTTGTCTTCAGAACCGAAAGTATCGTTATCTCCCCAGTGGAAATGCATTTGACTGAAGATGTAGTCGCCGTCCAATGGCCCACCACTGACGCGAGGGTGTGGTTCATTCTCCACTTCGATCAACACTAAACATCAAGCAATACAAAATGTTAACAACGTTTAGTTTATGTGAACTTAGTTATCTTTTCTTACTTACCGGTATGTCCATTGTTGGTAACGTGTACGTCATCGATAGAGTCGTCGAAGCCGATAAAGGTGATGTCAGGCAGAGCGACCTGCTTGACGCGAAGCACGTTAATGTCGATTGGACTCTGGTGCTTGCCTCTGCACTCCTGGTATCGCTCACCCCAATGCACTGGACCTGTGAACATATACACGTTACGTTTTTTACTGACTTCACAATACATGAGTTTTAATTCGTCTGTATGTTTTTTGTGTTGCCTCGTGATTTACAAAAAAATGTATATTCTTAGTACCAATAGATTGTAAGTAATATTTACACAAAGCGTATAAAAGCAGCGAATATTTTAACCCCAAAACTGCACAGTTAACATGGACTGAGAAGCAATTTGAAGTTATGTATCTAGTATAGTAGAAATTCAAAAGTGAAAAAAAATCATTTTCACTACTGTTTGGGATGTCTCAAATAATAATACCTACCCTTTAGAATATCGGTGTATTTCTTGCTTTCCACAATCATAATTCAAATTGGTTTTCTATAACGATACATTTGCAACAAAGAGAAAGTGGATAGTTTGGTTTATTTGGGTCGCTATAGTGTTGGGAGCTAACATCTGGTAACGAGCCGCCCCGGCATGTTCTCACTTACAAATTGACGTAAATGTAGGAAGCAAATGATAGCTTGCGATACTGATTGCTGCCTGCACTTAGAATGTTGCATTAATCTTGTCTATGTAATTGAGAACTGACTTAAAGGTTGCTTTACAAGTTTTAATGAAAATAAACGAGAAATAATCTGTTTAATTTACTGTTAACATTATTCAAATTAGTTTAATGCACACAATTTCGGTTTAATAGCACAAAATTCCAGATTTCAGGAAGATGATGTATTTGCTGATAACAAAAATGTAAAAAAAAGAATGTCTGTCCGCGAGCCGCTTTTGTTCCGGGTAATCTCCTAAACGGCTGGGCTGATTTTAACGGGACTTTCACTGCAGGGTAGCTGACATGGACGAGCATATTATAGGCTACATTTTTTTTAAATTCCGCGCTTTCAAAATGGCGTCCGGACCTCTATCTCTGCAACGGGTGGACCGATTTGGACGGGACTTTGACTGAAAGATAGCTGGTAGAAGGTAAGTGCACGCAGCAATATTGTAGACGATTTATTTTCAAATCCGCGCTAACGAAGTTTGCTGGCGACAGCTCGTTTTTAATAAAATTGTCTAGTTTCAACGTCAATGAGACGACTTCCTCGATCGCCAAGAATTGCAAGTTGTAGACAAATAGATGAATACGAACAAATAGATAGTTATGAAATGTTGGCGCCAGAAAGATGGTACTTATAGTGTCATCAAATTTTTATCTGATCCAATAGAACAACGTGTTGGTACTGTGCCATGTATCACAAATTTGGCACCTATGACATGTTCTTATATGAATGTTCTCTTGTAGACTATTTTTAGCTTTGTTTAGTTTTATCATCCACACATAGTAACAGACAAGGAAGTTCAGGTAACACTAAGTGCTATTGTGTATTTATTTCCTTCCTACTTTAATAAACTAAGGCGGAGTAAGACAAAAGATATAACATTAAGCCAAAGCGATGTTTATAAAATGCCTTAGTTTTGTGAAGGACTTTTGATATTGCCTTACGATATTCATAAAATTATTATATGTTAGTTGAAAAGAAAAAGGAGGGTGGTTTATTATGAAAAGCAGACAGTGCTAACAATTTGAACTTTTTGTGTCAGATTAAATACTAAACAATTGAACACTGAAAGCAGTAATTTATTGCATTTAAATGACTAACTTCTCTCTTGACATAGAGATAAGTTTAACCACGTTTATATATAACAAGAAAATTACATCGCGTTATTATTCTACGAACACAAAGGTACATCAATTTTGTGTCGCGTATTAATATTTTAGTCATGGAAAATTATATCAAGTTCAACTAATTACACGTTATTAAAGTACGTGTAAACATAGATAATTGTGTGACAATCATACGATATAACCGTAAAGATCCTTGCTTTGATTTCAAGTCGATGTCATTTCTTAAACAAATATAATGAAGGCCATTGTTATAAATATTCTCGTCTACAATAAGTTATTAAATTAATTAAATGATTTAATATTGAAGTTTATTTGCTTTGTTCAGAAGTTTTAAATTTTATACTATTCCTTATTTATACCCGATAAATTTGTAGAAGTTATAACCTGACCAGAAATGTAAAAACCTTTGCCATGTTGCTTCGGACTTTACTACTCTTGAAATATTTAAAAACTTACCTATAACTCCATCGTAGCCAAAATCTTCGCTGTTCGCATAGTGAAACGCTGAAACAATAAAGAAGGAAAAGATTAAAGCAGTTTTCAATGAATAGTTACGGCTTATAGTTTTTAGTTGAAAACTTTTATGATCATCAAATAACTTGAACATTCGACTCTGATGACGATTTATAGTTTCAACTGAATACAGTAAATAGAATTCCATTTTTTAAGCACTTTAAAGTCTCGCAATAAAAAGGACAAGTCCAAAAAACATATGCCAAGTCATGTCTTTACAATCTCATATTTAATATTGAACAAAAACAAGAAATCGTGACTTTTATCGCATGGCTGGCATGACTTTATAACGAATTATTTATAAAAAGTGTGTAGCTAAACAATTTATAAATTTGACATTAGGTGGGAAAACCCTGGGATAAACTAAGACTTTTCGTCATCGATACGAAAGGTAATGGTCTTGAAAGGCAAAAAAAAGTGTCAAGTAAAAATTCGGACTTTGAAAATATCAACACTTGAAAGGACGTTTGTTAAAATTATTCTGACCATGCCCGTGATCATGGATGTTAGTGACATGTTTCCTTGGTTACATTTAATAGCGGAAAACTGCAATCAACGCACGATACAGTTTTATATTAAAATATAAACATGTAAAAATGAGTGGATTTATTCTTTCGACCTTGCGATGACAAATTACCTCTAAAGATGGCAACCCTAACCTCCTAATAATTATTGGACAATACGTAATATTAGTAAAACAATGTAACAGCATTACATCATATATCTAATGTCTTAAATAATGTTTTATAATCGCTACGGAACTGCTGTCCTGGTGTTGCGTTAAGAATTTATGTTCAATTTTGTATATTATTATTATTTTTATTTTTACTGTTTAATCATGTTTATCCGCTGTGTTGTAATATTGCTTATGTATACAAAATAAAGATAATAAAAAAAAATAATGTTTAAGATTAACAAGTTAACCTAAACAATATGATCTTAGTAATAAGCCTTGAAAATTTTTAAATATTTTTTACCGTATTATATTCGTACAAGGTGTAACATTTCAAATGTTTCTTGTCTTAAATCTATACGAAATTGTTTCGATGTGCATGACTCGAATCCTTTTGTTACTTTTGAATATTTAAAAGATCTTTACAACCAAAAAATAAATATGATCGCTAAGCTAAGTAAGAAGTTCATTTACTTATTTTTAATTGCATAGTTTGTTAACCTGCAACAGTGATTATTTTTAGCCGGATTTGTTAAAGCGTTGAATTCCATAGTACAAACGGTAAACGGTAAGAATGATAGCTAGTTCTCGAAACCGAAGAGCACCTTACATAAGGCGATAATAAGTTTATTATTGTTGAATACTTTTTGTATATTGTTGGATAATTTATAATAGAAGTTTTAATGAGAATCATTCGCAATTTCTTTACGTTTGTTCGCGTACTTATACGGGATAAGGCGTTATTAAGTACTTATATAATTTCCTGTTTTTCAATTGATATAAGTGAGGTTGATCTGTGCATTGTTTCAATCTGAACCATGATAAGTATTCGCGGCACAATGTGATTTATGTTGGTATAAGAAACTATTATAAGAGGATTAACTGATGCACGTCTGTAGTCGTAAGTGTAGATTTTGTGCAAAATCTAAATGTAACCCTCAGTACTAATGAACGAGTATGGTAATAAAAGAATGTGTAACATATCTTGAACAATCTTGATCCTAGATATCAAATTCCTAAATATTCTTTTTATGACAAATCGCTAACGCTAGCTAAATCCCTAGCTAAGATAACTAAATGCGTATTACTATTGTCAATTGTCGTGATATGAGTTAAATCACCTTGTTGTAACTTTCGTATACCATGAGAATTTTAAATATACGACTACGATATTTTATGTTACTTTGTTCCTAACATTTGTATTAATTGTAATTTTGTGTACTTTAGTTGTACTTTGCACTACAACTTGGGATCTCAAGTTGGAAATAAGATATTGATAAACTTACCTAACGATTTGTTCATTATGAATAGTATATTGTATATATACTGCACAAGTTATTGTCAATTGCTCTTGAATTTTAGATGAAGCTGTCAAAATGACACAACATGCACTTGACACGCTTTTCTTAACAACACAGCCATAGCTGGTAAATGACTTTGAAATTGTTACGCGTAAGTACTCGTCGTCCGAACTTGAAGTTCATTGAAATTTGCTTTGTTTTTTTACATATTTCAAAGGCATTTTTTTAACTGATGGTTATACAAGAAAATATACGAAGATCAATGTATTGTAGGTATTCAAATCTGCGTTCATTATAATGAAAATTTAGGTTATTACGTTTTTTATATCCAATCTAAAGAGAATTAGGCAATTTAATCTGTCCTCTAAATGAAGGTGGATTAATATTTAAAGACTGTAGCTACGCACCGTGAAGTTACAATAAACGTTGACAAACGAAATGCAAACAAATTGTGCCATAACCGCTTACTGGACCGCAACAAAGTTCATTGATAAACTCGATTGCGGCGAGTAGACGAAATACTTAATAGTTATTGACCTTATAAACACAATAACGCGGTAACTTTTTAATATATCAATGATACTTGCCAGTAATTAGCATGTAATTAAAAGAAACAATTCAATACAACAATGAGATCTCATGTCCGTATACGCAAATTCAACAAATTCTTAGAGATCTAAGATATATTTAAATTATCGGAAAACCGTAATCTCTGCTTACCCTTACAGGCGTGCATTTTGTATTATGACATACACATAAATATACTAATAATTAAAAATCCAAAATCTATTTATAACATGTAAAAAATGTTTTTCTTTTAATATGCTACCGGTCGCCAGAATGTGTTTATTGGAGACGCTCCAAATAAAGATAATAACGAACGCCAATTCCTAACAACTTTCCCTCTCATTCAACTGTCTTATCTTGGCTTATCGAAAGCCGTGACTTATTTGTGAATTTTGTCGAGAAATGACAGCGTCTATCGTGGCAGCAATTCGCTGTGAAATCTTTTAGAAGGCTCTACATTGTTTCAACTTTGTTAATTAGTAACGTAGTCTGGGGGACATGAGCACAATGCACAATGCCTTGCGTTGCCTGTCCACATTCAATCAGAAATACTTCTATTCAAGAATGCCAGGCGAATACAATTGTAGGCAAGGCAACGTTGTACAAAGTTACCTGTCGACAACTAGTCAAGGTGGAAGGACGTAATTTGCAAATTGCACGTGCAATTTTATTTAAACGTCTATCAACCATAACTGTATCTGTGAATCCATGTTTGGGGTACTCATAAAGAAAGTTTTAATAAACAGTTTCTATCTGAAGCTTGTCGTTTAGTTACGTGTTCCCACACTTAAACATGGCGCAGTTTGCAGAATCCCGTGTTTCACGTTACCAGACTAAACTAAGGTTTGGTTCGAACTGAGTACGCCAGAAAAGATTCACTGAGCTCAGTTTTACACGTCCCCCCTAGTGACTTGAGCCGTAAGTTCAAGGTACTAAAGAGCGCCTTTTACAGAAGTTTTCTTTACATGTGATTGTACTCATTAGTCCATTATTTTTTTGTTTGTTATAAAACTTAATAAATGAAAAAATGCTTCATATATAACAGCTACATTGTATTTATTATTAGCAACTTGATTTCCAATATCTATTGCGGTCATAGAATCAGTTTATGAAATAAATAATGAACCGAAGGCTGTCTGTCACGCGAGGTCCCCGCCCAGCCGCCCAGTCGCCCAGTCGTCCAGTAACAACTATATTATTCAAATTGTAATGAACTAACATTGTCTTTGACCACATTTCCGTTATGTCGAAATATTTCCCGTAAGTATTGTAAAGGTTACTTATGCTTCTAGGTTCCGTAGCGTGTCAAATATTCTCCCGTATTTATTTTCTTAGACTGAAAAATATAGTCGATTTAAAACTACATGTACATAAATACTTTGCACTTATGTACAATGCTGCATGCTTAAGAAGTACTTAAAAACGAACGAGATGATTTCTAGAAATAAAAGAAGCCAACTTGAAGCTTAAGTAATATGGAATTATGTTAAAATGGTGTATTTTAAGTTTTTGCCATAATTAAGACAGCTGCTGTTTTTATATTACGCGTGTATGAGGTAACTTAATTAGCTATCCGCAAATGAATTAACACAGACCTATATTTTCCTTAATCTGTATAAGGTTTTATATAACTAACCTAATTTTGTTAATGTGTTAGTGTCACCCCAATGAATTTTTTTATTCTTAATTAAAAAATCAAAACTATGAGGTTTTTTTTATAATATAAGAGAACTAATTGACCACATTTAATTCCGCAATACCAACAGATATTGTATATCTTGCCAACTGCAATATTTGCCAACGTTAATAGAATTAACACCTTTGTCTATTCAAAAAAAAATACTTTTCTAAACAAAGTTTACGATTTAAATTATCTGTAACAATTTTTGCAACATTTGTATGCAAATCGGTCACTATAATAGTGTTTTTTTTTAATTTGTCGGCACTAAAAGGAGAAAGCGGTAACTTTTCAACATTGTTGTCAAATTAAAATCGTGACTATTATTTACAGTTTATTGCCTCCTCGTGACTCAGGTCCACTGTAATACTGTTGATATTTCGAACATCTCGATGTTTCAGGTTATAAATGTAAATATTAATACAAGCAAAAGATAACTTTTTTGTAAAACCACAACAAAATACAAAAAGCGTTAAACATTAAAACAAGTAATTTATGACGAAGCGTACTTTAAGAAGGTAACAAAATGTTTAATTCAAAGTATGTCCAATTCTTTCCTCGCGAAGATTTTAAATTTAAAAAGAAACAAAGACCGCTCACAAAAAGGTTTTGTCAAATTTTAGAGTCACGACGAAAATCACCTTGATATGACGAACATCAACTATACCTATGATAATTCCTTTTCAAATTTCAAATGAAGAGGTCGTAACAGGTATCGTAAGACTCCACTGCCGAAGCACATGAACATTTTCCACTTTTATTTAAATGAGAACGCCTCTTAATATGCCTTAATTCTACGCGTGTTTCGTCAAGGAAAATCTACTGTTATTAGACAAGGTTGTAAAATAATATCCCAATGATCGTTTTTTATTATCTTGTATGATGGTTTTAATAGCTTTTGTCTGCATTTCTTGTACGAACAGTAAGCGTGATCTATTGCTAGTGTCTGTTGGTTTCGATCCAACTGATATAAATATTGATGAAATGCATATAAATGTATACACATGGAGCCAAATACATTTCAAGTTTATTGTTATAGCTATGCAGTGCACCTTTGATGTATGTTAAACGTCACCTGGTGATTTTCCCGCAGTCGGTATTCAAAGCTGACGTTGCGAATGTATTTAATTCAATTTTAATGCATACAAATGTGATCCATTCTTATTTTAGAATTATCGCAAAGCTCAATGGTTCGAAAAAAAGACTTGTAAAAACAATTTACGACATAATATGATAAATGAAATCCATAAATTAGGCACTTTACCTAATGACTATGTCTTGTTACTATTTCAATATGTTTTTCCACGTTTTTTACTAATTTTTTTTTACTATAAATTTGTATTTACATAAAAGATATATAGATAGATTCTAGTTCCTCATAAATTTTTAGTCCCTCTTCCCTTTCCTCTCGTTGCTTCAAACCTCAAACGTGAAATAGACTTCATCAGATATATAATTATTTATCCATAAAAAACCTTCTTAAAGAACCATTGTTCTAAAATAATTTATTGAAAAGTGACACAGATCTTGAAAAACATACAAACAAGTTTAAATAGATGCATGTCAATCTATTTTACAAAATAATTATGCTATCTAACAATACGTCGCGGTTAAATTTTCTAGTTCTGTTCATTGATATTGGCGTTTCCATTGTTTTGAGGGATTTGACAATGCCCTACAATATTAAAACAACGCCCAAAATTTAATGTAAACGAGATAATACGTGGTGTAAACAGTGGTAGAGCCCACTTTAACATCTTCGCACGAATGAGTCAGCTCGCCCGGTGTAATACCACGACCACAAAGAACACAAGCGTGAATTGGGAGCAATCTTGCGTTTCGTCTGATGAGTGTGGTACCGGAGGCCCAACTTTAGTCCTTTCCACCGTTTTATAAGAAGAGTATGGGAAGGGAACGTGGATATGACACTGGAGGAGACGCATAGGCAGGGGAAATATACTCTTCATGTGCGTTTCCTCCATTGATTAAGAGTAGGCTACGCACCCGCTATTACGAATGTCTATGGGCAGCGGTCGCTTCGCCATTTAGACGGATTCAGGTAGCCGTTTGCTCGTTTGCCATCTTATGATGTATAAAAAATGTTACCAAAGCTTCGGCCGTGTTTAGAATAGAATGCCTTATATTGCATAATTTCGTAAACATATTACAATGAAGTCACAAACCCACGTATCAAGGACTGTGTGCTTTTGGAAAGGTGAAAGGATACGTTTAATCACAAACATTTAAATTCAAACAAGTTATGTTAAATCTAATTTATATAACTAGCTTTGGCACACAATGTAGTCCGCTATAAGATAGCGTGATTTATAATGGGTTTCCTTTATGAATGAATAATCTTTGCAATTTATTTAACTATCGTTAAGTATTTCCCTTGCTTTGCATCCAACTATTAACGATACTACATAACTAACTTGGAAGCTAAAACTAAAACATAGAACTAACTTTTAGTTTAGTTTATTGGTTCACAGCGATGCTAATATTAATGAATCCTTATTTTTTAGATTTGGCACATTTTCGATCAGATAACTTTAAACATTCTCTCTATTTCATATTAATTAACTTTCCTATAGTTCGTTCAATTGTTTTAATATCATGAATTCAAAGTATTATCAATTCTTAATACCAAAGCTACTTACAAATAGCGGCATATACTTGAGAACTGCAATAAATGTGGTCACCAACACTCATTGCGACATAATAAATCATAATGGCTTTGATAACGACAGAACATGTGGCAAAGAAATGTATCGATTTCCTAGGAAATGTTTCCGTTCAAGTGGGAAATAAATACTTGAAACATGATTTCCTCCACAATAATAGGTAATAATAACTATACCGTTTGCAATTTATACTAACTGTAGGTCTTGCAGAATCTACTTTAAAAGTGAACAATATGCCTGTTTGTAATTTGGCTCCGCTGATTGCATGTCGAACAATTTTGTTCAAAACGCACTAGCCTATATTTCTAGAATTGTTTTTAAATAGAAAAGAAAGTCTAAATATCATACAAAATGGAAAATCATGATATGAACCTACTCTATGTCACGAACTTTAGTATTTTTTAATATAACAATGACACGCGTTTGTTACGAGTTTAATTCAATCTATATTCGTTCAATACATAGAATATTACGCGTGCGTGTGAAAATGAACAAATGGTCATGTTTTATGAACATAAATCCTATATTTATGGCCGCTGAAGAGAAAACTATACTTCAATCGATATAATTGCGACAGAAGTTTTTCTAAACAAACGCGATACCACAATATAACAATAATAAACTTTATTTCGAGCTACACTTCTTTTTTGCTCATAGTTTGTTAGTAACAGAAAAAAACTTAATACCTATGTTAGTCACACATACATCTAAATGTTATTCTAAAATGTACAATTATCGCCAGCCACGTGCAGCTATATGTAGAATGGTGTTGGGGCTGGCTCGCACACTGCGCACCAGAGTATATTAGCAAAACAAAAGTGGTTTTAATACTGAAAATCGTTAATATGTTGCATGCTAAAAGAAAAAGCGTGTCTGGAAAGAAAATGTAATCAAGTAACAAAAGAAGCACAGATCTTTATTAATAAAATAATAACTTGATAGGAGTAATTTGTAAAATAAATGAAGTTCCAATTTGACTCGACTCAACGTAAAAACTCGACACTTGATATGAGACTTGCTGGAACTCACTGAATGGCAGTCTCGAAATAGTTTTCAATTCAAACAATACCCATTATAAGACATATAAATTAAAGATAATTGTTACATTAGAAGCATTCTTCAATACTTATTGTTTTGAGGTTTTCCCACATTTTTTGCACAGTTTTATCTGAAACCTTAAAAAATCAGATAGATAAAATCTGCGAAATTAAACCAAAAGTCTGTTTTATGTGAATTTATAAAATGTTGTGGGTAATGCAGTTTCTCGGTTTTAGTTATAACAGATAAAATAACGATGTCTCAGAAAATATGCAATAAACCGTCCCAATAATTAATTATGAACAAGTAAGAAATAAATGAATTACCATCGCTTCGAGACGAAAAGAGGTGGAAAGAAGAGAAACAATAGGCGGTTTTAGTGTTTCCGTCCAAGTATGACCATGTACCTACATATGTAACCCACGTACATAGGTGTGAGTACTTTCAGGATAAAGGTGGTGAACTAAGCTTTCGCAAAACACCTTTTTACCGTTACCACGAAATAGTTGGTAGGATTATTGTTGTTCAAAACCACACTCCATTTTTTTTTACAAATAAGGTTTTTTTAAAGTTATGTAGTACAAGTTATTAATAAATGAAGAAATGGCAGTAACATTTTGCTAGTTCAATTTGTTCTAGAATTAATGCTTTAGAGTTTTAAGTCTGTTCTTTTTTTTGAGTACTTTCGTATTTAGTTCGTTACAGCGTGCAATCTCAACACAATGTAATTTATTTCACTTTCTCTGATCAAAGAGATGAGATACTTGGAAGATTACAGCTTACAGAACTCTTATGGAATTGAGCATGTTGCTATGAAACAATTAGTATAATATAAGCATTATTTCAATATTAAATATTTATAGTATTTGTTATACATACCTTGAAAAGCAGCAATTACAAATAATATTACAAAATACATAGTTCCAAGCAGTCACAATGAATAAAAAAAAATATGGAGACATTTAATTCTAATTTCTAATTGAAATATATATTTTTATTTAAACCATTCAAAACACACAAATATCGGGTAAAATGCTTATATTTCGCGTGCGATGTGACGCGAACGCAGTAACAACCACAACTGTCGGGCGAAACTTATTTCCCGCGCTTATAACCCTGTCACGAAAGGCAAAGGACGACACCTGTTTTCGGTGTAATTTTCCGGCGAAAATGAGTATTTAATCTATTTAGTACAAAGTTTATTCAAATTAAAGAAAACATGTAAAAAATTAGTGATTTCTAAAATATAAACAAAGACATTTTTTTAATTCTGTAAATATTTATTAATATCAATTTTAACTGACTTTCCATAAAAACATTGTTATACTCCACTTTGGAATTTTCTCCCAGCCCAATAAGTTTTCCAATAAGAAATGGTATCAAAAAATAAATGTCCCGTTTACGCACTACATGCTAAATTAAAAAAGTATTACTATAATTGTGTACCACAATGATTTTTTATCTCAAACAAGACCAGACAGCGTAGGATATTGTATTACAAAATCCTTTGTAGCACAATTCTGTTATAGGTAGGCGTTAATTAGCATCAGGTGAATGTCTCGATCGTCTTGTCGCTTACTCATAAACGAATCTTTAGCGTGTAGAGATAACAAATGCACACAATACACACTAAAATATAACGGGAATAAATTAAAAATAACCGCACATAACTAACATGAAAGCCTAATTTAATCCTCTTCTCTCTACGATTTTTGTACCAGAAAAGAATGGGAATGAAAAGTGGAGTTGGTTCGGGGTGGAAGGCTTAGGTAGGGAAACAATCCTTTGTGCGTCCCCTCCTCTCTTGGTTCGGGACGGGAACACATCTGCGAATACAAAAGTTTATGGGCAGTGGTAGCTTCGCTTCTATAGCGAATTCTGTGGCCGCTTACTCGTTTGTCACCGACTAAGAACTATAATAATTTTATATTTGAAAATTCCCACGTCATTTATTCCTATATTATCTAGCCGCAACTAAGTAATGACGTAATTTATGTTCATAAGGATAACAAAAATTACGCTTGGGTTTAATACCTATGTATGTATAAAAGGATCAAGAGTTTTTCCTAAAAATATGTAATAACAGACATTTATAGTATTATGAATTAACCCCCTTAACGTCTGTGTCGAATTTAGATGCTATATTTTATCGGAAGACTGTTCACTGATAACGCAAGAAGACGCTTTTGTCCAACTAATCTAATTATAGTTTACTTTTTTGATACCGATCTTTCATTCAATAATTAAATCAAAACACTCTGTAAATCAAATTAATATCTGATTAATTCTTAAGATTACAACGTGTATATTGGGCATTAAAAACAAAGAATAAAATAAAATAAACATTATCGTTACAATCTGGCACGATTATGCTTCGTGACTTTCGCTAAATTTAAGTCTATATCATTTTAGCTAAAAATAATTACAACGGTTTTGTGACTTATCTTACAATCAGAAGATAGTTCCTTTTTAACTTTAACTCTATCCTTTGTTGATACATTTAAACAATCTTTTTGGAGTTTTTTCGTTTCACGCTGGTTATACCGTGTTAAGATGTATTAAAAATTAACTTTGTGGTTAGAATTTTGAAGCACTTTTTCAGACACTACATAAGGGTCCACGTAGTAGAAACAGTAGTTCAGATAGCTCTTTCATAATTTTAAACACAATATTAGCGAATGTTTGAATGATACGTACCTCATTAATCTTTTACGTTACAGCAACGACACAACACTAATTAAAGCTTTTCTAACACTACCCTCATGCTAACCATACTTAATAGAAAAAATTGTCCAAAGCGAATTGGATACATGACAAAAAGATTTGATCATAGATATTTTTTTTTTTATAATTGTCGTAATTAAATAGTGAACTTTAATCATGATATTTCAAGGCAATTATTAAAATAGAAAGCGTTGTACAATGTTTCATACGGATATTGGTTTTAATTAATTTTAATTTTAATTTTCAGACGATAGATGTCTCGTCCTAAATTCGTCTAAGCTAGTTAAATGACTAATTACTTACGTGTATTTCCTCATCGGTATTGTTGATGTTCTCTCATTATGTGGGTACATAACCTATTTAATATTTCACGAATTTACGTCCTATTCGTAATAAAATACGTCATTACTTTCAATTAACTAATTCAAAGAAAACTTAAACATCGTTTATGGAAATTCTGATTTAATTTTTAGAAAACATTGTGATTGATGTCCGATAAAGTCTCTATTACGAATTTCCATGACACTTTTTTTTTAATTTATTGACATATAAATCTTCTAGGCGCCTGGACTCGGAGTATTCTTTCTAAAATTAATAGGAAAAAAATGAAATATCGTACTGGACTTCACACATTTATTGTATTTTTGTCTAATAAAAATACTATATCGTATAACTATCATAAAGGAGATATCTACAGCAATTGACAGTCTTGCTGGTTGTACACACTCATCAGAGCACAACATAGGTACATCCACTGCGCGCCGTGCACAACATGGACAATTCTTTTTGTTTCTCTAACACAACTACTTTATCTTAATTTACAACCCTATAGCAATTATAAAATAAAAAAAACTACAATCTTGCGAAAACAAACACCATTCAATGGATATAATTCACTTATTGCACTACTAAAAAAACATTGTCTATTGAAATGTAGGCTTTAGGATTATTTTACTCGATTTACGAGAACTTCCAATAAAATTAATAATAGAAAATTTAAAAGGTATATGGGGACAAGGGAGACCTATTTAACCAAACTTGGTAAGCTTTTAACACCTGCAATTAAAAAAAACTACTTGCACATTTTTAACAATTTCTCGATTTTTCCACAAAACTCTATTTAGAGTTAGACTCGTTTATATACATATTTTTACATAGAATACTTATTTATGTGTGATATTGTTTACAATCAAAAAAGATGAGATGTTTTATGAAAAAAAAAAGCCTGTTACAAGAATCTAGGGTCCAAAATCACTAACACAATACAACAGTGGACCTAGGTCTTGTACATTGTTCTAACACCGACATAAGAATTGCTTACAATTTGAAATAACATTAAGTACTAAAACATACAGAGGCAGGAAATATTTTGCTTCAAACATTGACACTTTTCTAAGTTTCAACACCAAATTCTAATTAGTTCTACAGCACATTCGTCGACTCTAATAAGTTACACAAATAAAAATTATCGTTTTAAAACTATACGTAGGTACACAGGAATTGCCAACTTACAAATAGGTAAAAGAAACGGCCTACTCGAAGAAAACAAAATTACAATAGTGAATATATTTTTACAAGACAACTCACAAATACATAAAATTAATTATATTCATGAAATAAATCCACTTCGCCGTAAATTGCGTATTTAACAAAAAAAAACTACTTAACCTATATTATTTATATGTACACAAAGCAAATTAAAATAATCAGCTAAATAATATGAATCCAAAAAACTCGTAACATCTGTTACAGAAGAAATTACAAAAACATTGAAGTTTAACTTTGAAATGCTAGCAGACAGATTTATAAAGAAATTTTTCCTGCCAGTTTTATTTACACAGTAAAAATCATAGCCGTAGTAAAAAATTGCACCAAATCAAATGAGTTCTTAAGCCGAAGATAATTCGGCCTTACAAGTTTAGACGCCGTCGATTCCAAGAAAATATAGCAGCGTTTCTTTTAGAATATTCGCGTAAAGCATTAATTTATTCCATGTTACATTTACAATGTCTTACAGTATGCTAAACACAGTGAAATCTACAGAACTACAGAACACGGCATACATAGTATGTACAATTGTAACTATATACAAAAATATAACCCCGTATGGACAAACGTCGTGGGCTTTGCTCACACCATTTACAATGCAACATCAGGTAAGCGCTGAGATGGTACAAATCATTGCATGCACTTATTAGTATGCATTCTCATCCTAGCAATACAGTTTCTAATATTACATACGTATAATGCGCCAAATACCATATTATGATATGATATTTATCGGGTCTATTTCAGGTATAAAATTATATTTTAGCGCTATTGGTAATCATTTTATATTTCAGATCATATGATTTAAATTATCGAGAAAAGAAAACCGATTACCTATTGTAACATCTTATGACACAGTTCCCCAACAGTTTGTGGAACAGTATTTTTTTTATTGCACTGAAGAGATTGAAGAAAAGGACCATAACAACCTTTATCAAGGACTGGCTTAAAGGATACCAATAATGGACCTTTTACAAATGTCAATGGAGAGTTTTGAACTCTCCGATTAAATTAATACAAATCTGAAATGCCAATACCATATTTAAATGACAATTAAATTGATTTAATACAAGTTTGACGCCATCTCAATATTAGAAACTATGTTTACTAAGAATTAAAATAAAATTAAGCGCATATAATGACTTTAAATCTCAATTATTTAATCCCTTAAAAGGGTATACGTGGCAGACGAATGGTAACTAACATTTCTTATTGTCCAAATTTTACAAACAACAAAGTAGCGCATCGCATGATTATTGGTCTTTGCCCTCAGTTAAATGCAGATACGCATTCAACATTGTTCACAGTAAATTAAGAAAGTATTGGTTTTCTCAAGTCATATTTAAGAGACTTATGCCTCAATTCTCCGAGTTTCTGTTGGTTGCAAATTACACAATTACTAGTCCCAGATTAACAATAGTGGAGTAAATGTAAATATACATATATTAAAATATATAGGTTGGTATATTATTGTAACTGGACTTAGCCAACTCAATAATTACATTTACGGCAATGTTTTTTATAAATTGATAAATTAAATAATTAATTTCTATCAGTTAGAGACAATTAAGGTTTAAAGATAAGAAATCAAGGGGTAAATAAAAAAAATTAACTTTAGATTTCGAAATAAAGTAATATGAAAAGCCAATAAGTGGACTCTGAGATAATGTCCGTTAACAATCAATGGTCTGGTTCCTTGATATCTTATTATTTACCCAACAAGCAATATCAATAACTACAAGACTGATTATCTGTTCTTCTGTTGAGCACCTCTTGGACATATTCTTAATTTTATCTCCAGTAATACAACGTAATCGTAATATGAAATACGAAGATCGATATCAAGTGATAAAATTCCAATAAATTAACAAAATAATTGTACTTAAATGGTAAATATAAAGTGTTGAAGGTCATAAATGATCAACAATTGAATGTGAAACAACGTAAAGGGTATGTCAATGCTGATTCCCGACATATGCATTTAATTGTGCGTATCATATAAATATAGTACATATACATGGTAAGGCTTATTTATTGTTTAAGTGTCGATGTTATGTTCTCTTGATATGTTTTACATTGTTAAGTGACATGATGCAAGAATTGTGTGAAGCCCTATATGACATCGTATGGAAAATACCTCACTCCGTACTCATCTAACTGTACACCATGTCACAAAAATATATAATTTACAGTTTGTATATTCATAATATATCCATTTGTACATTACACGAGAGATTTTCTTTTAGAATATTTACAAATAAAATAAAAACACAACATTCCAAGGTTCCCTTCACCGTTATTCACAAATGTTTCTACATCTAGTTACACTGAAATCAACCAGGGCTGTAACTACTATCAGCTAAACGGCGATTTAAAAAAAAATCGTTAAAACCATATTATATCGGAATTTTGTTCTCTCTCAAAATGAATTAAGTTGTGCTGAAAATAATGTAAAAGTTTTTGTTGATATGTTACAAACGGTTCATTTTATACTTGCAAAAACATCAAATGTATAATTTTGTTAAAGATACATTATCTATTAGGCCGATTTTTAAACATTTAAAAATTGTAATTTTCATTATGAATTTTTGAATCATAGCAAATAAGCACAAACTTTTTTCTTATTGTCTTAAAAGCATTGCACTCTAGATGTCACTTTCATTATATTAAATCTAAGTTCTCCGAACTAACATGGACAACTTACAATAAACCAGTCACTTAAATCATAAAGTTTATAGAATTCTATTTAAGCCATTTGGTATATAAATACTGTCCTGAACAATTTCTGTGTAGCATCTAAATTAGTAACCAAAACTACGAAGTATTGGTTATAAAATACAGTGACTAATAGCAAAGCGATATTAGAATTTTCTCCAATTAAGAAACCAAAATTTTATAAAGTATTATTAACTATATATTATGTAATCTGGAGACAAAAATAATTAAGGTTATATTTTATTTGTACTGATTTTTACAATTATGCCAATATAATTCAAAAGAAACTCATATAATTATAATATTTTCATAGAGTATATAAGAGATATTTTTCTGGTAAACAGTGAGCAAGAAATAACATATATTATTTGTTATATTCAATCGAATCTCTTATAATTCCTATTGTAATATTTAGACATGTACTATTGAGAAAAACAAAGATAAAAGACTAGTATAGAATTTCTACCTTTTTCGACAGTAAGTTATTATTAATGTACTATTTTAAAGTAAAAATTGAATTACACATTTTTTTTTTACATTTACATTATGCGCTTATGTTTGCATTGTTTGTGTACTTTTATTGGTATGAAGGGATAGGAGAAAAACTCCACTTTTTAATAAGGCCAAGAGTTGATATAATAGAAGAGATGAATTTTGAAACTATTTTCTTTGTAATGATTGTTTTATAAAGTAAAACGCAATTTTTGTATTTCAGTTTTGTAGCTAAATACAAAGATTAGACTTTGAATGATACTAAGTAGGGTTTTGTTATATTATTAGTTACAATTATTAGTACATTATGAAGTTTATTTAACTCACAATTAAAAGATGACACCTACAAAGAATGATCGCAATGTTTTCTAATTTTCGTCTTAACAGATACTCTGTTCAACAAATTTACAGCCAAGAGGCTATCTTGTCTTATAGTTCAAATCTTTTATATAAATATCAATATATTACTATTACATATTAATAAAAATATACATAAATAAATAAGATATCCTATAATTGCATATTTAATTTCTGTTCAGAAGCGTCTTTGTAGATAATAGTACATATAAACTAAAATCTAATAACTTAGTTTATCATGTATATCTTTAATTTATTCCAAAATAGATAATTCTGCAATTTTTATAAACACAATAGGACTACAACGATAAAGTAATCTTAATTTTTCCTAACATTTTTGACCTTTTTTCACACACAAAATCAAAATATCAATTATGTGAACATTGTCCAATACACATTTAAGAGTTAAGTATACAAACCACATAAAATATATATTTAGATAAGAAAGAAACATAAGGAAGAAATAATAATTGTAAAAATATTCTCCTGCCAAGGCCAAGGTAATTAAGCAATTTGTGGATAAAACTTGAATTAATGTAGCAAATTATTTTTAATTCTAGAACGACGTATCAAAATCACAATTTTCCAATTGGACAGAATAGGATCTCCTGCTACAAAAACATTCCATTTATTTATAATTCATTTAATTAAAAACGAAATGCGATTTTACTGCAATTATCCGTTATTCAAATTTTTTACATATTATGCATGAATTGACGCAAATACAATGCGAAATGGTTAAATTTTATATCAATTTGTACGGAAACAGCTTTAGCACGTGTAGATAAAATAGCTATAGATTATTGTTACACAGGATGATCAACAGCGTATATCTCTGCAAAAGTAGATATGTCATCTATAGATTGGATTTTAAAGTTTGACATCTAATCTAGAAGCGATTGTTGAAACATTGTAAATGACATTTAAGGAAAGCGCCTTAATAAAAGGTCTTTTTTCTGTTACTATTGTGATCTGGATTAGGTATAGATAATATATCTATATATATTGGCGTTGCTGCCCAAACTAGACTAGGTTTAGATGGACAATTACCTTTATAGTTTAATTTGGAGTAGTACTAGTATTATTGCACCTTTATTCATAAAAATAATTAACTCGAAATGTATGTTTTTGAAAATGTGTTTGAAGTTTATGTTTACACAGATTTGAGATATAAGAGACGTCCTGTCTTTTATTTTCAATCTATTGACGGGAGTTAGATTCGCATTCTCGCTAATATGTCGTTTATTTTACTAAAAAAAACATAAATTATGTGTTAATCTTGTATCTACTGATGTATCAGACTGATATATTATATTTATCAGAATCTACGTAATAACAGAAATCTACTAATTTCTAAGTTATACAGCTATAGTTAATACTTTAGATTATAGGTTGATAAAAGGGGCAAACGAAAGTTCTTAACTCCCCAAGGAA